ATTCCAGCTGAGATTCATGCACATCTCAAGATCCCATTCCATGTGAGATCCATGCACATGTCAAGATCCCATTCCATGTGAGATCCATGCACATGTCAAGATCCCATTCCATGTGAGATCCATGCACATGTCAAGATCCCATTCCATGTGAGATCCATGCACATGTCAAGATCCCATTCACATGTCATTGAAACTCAATTTCATCACAGAAAGCAGCTGGAAGCTCAACAAACAGATATGAGCTAGTATTACATGTACATGTTGGTTAACAGAATCAACCTATTTAAACAGGTACAAAAACGTGTAGATGCTTTTACACAAAAACAGCCTGAGATAAACACTAACCAGTCCTTTCAAAAACTTATACACTTATTTTAAATTACATGTAGTATTTCTAGACATTTCGTGGGTCTTGCAATTTTCGTATAATTTCACAATTCGCATGATTTCAAAATGAGATCACCATCACAAGTTCCATTACCCTAATCCCTTATAAATCTTAGTACATGTATGTGTGTCCTATTTTCATTATGGAATGTGTTCTGCTAAGTATATATTACCATATATATACATGTATATCTATACGTACCTATCTGCAGTAATTTCCCTAATATATTCTAAGAAATCAATGGTCTGTGAAGCAAATTTGGGATGTTCCATGAATAAAGAAAGAATAAACCTGCAGATAGAGAAATGGAAATAAAATAAGTTTTGAGGTTTCTGATTGCTACATGTGTCCTATTGTGCACATACAAGTTTTATAACTTTGAAGGATGGGGTGATTTGATGATTGCTGCATTTTTACACCCAGATTACCGATATGACGATTGATTACCTTAATTTACAGACATTTTAATAATAACCTTCACATGGAAACCTGGTTGCATATGAATACAACCTTTAATATTTATGATTGTAGTATTATTAGAGAAGCATACATACTTGTAAATATCATCGACTAATGTTGTATTTTGATGGCGTCTATAGTAGGTAAATAATACTCTATAGAGTGCAATGGCAGGCCTACCAGTAACACCATAGTGGACTGATTTGTGTAAGCAAACCAAACTGCTCATCAACATAGCGGCTGCAGAATCTGAAAAGTATTATTCATAATTTAAGTACATTGAGTTTTTTAACAATCAGAATGTGCACAGTATTTGGCTGTCCTAGATAATAGTTTACAAGATATAAAAGATTTAAGTATTATTTTCCTCTACATGTATATAGACTTGTTTTCCTGTTACATGTACCTGTGTATATACCCTGGGTACCAGTAGTTCTCATTCATGTCCTCAAATGTATTTGTTAACTACAATTACTTGAAAAACTTGACAGTGGTGGATTGTTCCAGGCCGTAATATGAATTACCGGTAATCAAGTTTTGTATATCACCAGTCAATCATAGTAGTTTCAATTATCTCTATCATATATATTATCTCTGTCAAACAATTGCCAGGTTGAGGTGGTTTGCCTTTTCAGAGCTCTCTCGCGTTTATGAAAAATGCAAAGAATAAATAAAAATCAATAGCTCAATGAAACTGAAAGTATAGTTTCAATGCAACTTTTGTCTTATTAACCCTATAAAAAAAAACCTTATCTCAGAAATGTCATTGACACAATTGTTGTAGATGAGACAATGATTAAAGCCATGAAAAACAAGATTTGTATTTGTATTTGTAAGGTTTATTTGAGCCAAACTTGGCTTGAGCCAGCTTAAGTAAAACATGTATACACAGTAATTTTTGCTGGCTCAAGTCGCAGGGCCCTGTTAAAATGCTGTTGTGTAAATGTAGCATTTGACTGTTTCCATTGACATACACCTGTCATTTTTGATAACATTATTTTACTTTACACCTCGGAATGTGATTGACAGATTCGCAAATGTAATCAGTCAAAGCATGGTGAACTAAAGATACTAGGTTATATGTCTTTTCGAGAATACCAACAAGAGGTTGTTTAT